GGCAGCCCGGGATATGTGGGACACGAGGGAAAGGCAATCCTGGGAAACACGTGGCACAGCCAGTGCCTGCCCCACCACCAGCACCTGCCAGCTGTGCCCCACAGGTGGCAAGTGGGTGCTAGGCCCTTTTGGAGTGCAGCACCTCCTGGGTCCCCCTTCCCCCTCGGCAGCCCCTCCAGGTGCCAGGAGGTGCCCGCTCCGTGCCAGGGCAGGTCACGGCTCCTCCATTATCCGGGGGCAGGGTTCAGCCTGATAACGAGTCGCTTTTGTACTCGGGCAAAAAAAAAATCAATACATTGCAAGCGATGGGCAGGAGTGATAAAGGCAGAAATCCCCCCTCAGCTCCCGCCCCACTGGGGCAGTGGGGTGTCCCCTGCCTCCCAAATTGAGGGACAGAGCCCAGCTCTCCCACAGTTATCCCTTGTCCTGTCCATGGCAGCTCGGCCAGAGCAAGCCCAGGCTGAGCCCAAGCAGGCACAGCCCAGCAAGGCTCGATTTAAACCCTCCTCACTCCTTTGTCGTCCCCAAGGCTGCCCTGATTACTCGAGCACCCAGGATGGCAAAGCCGGGATAATCTCCTTAGCCCCTTTGGAGAGATTTCCCTTTGTGAGCGGAGGTGAAGAGTGGAGATGCTGCGTGTTCACAGCTTAAGACTCTTCCCAATCGGCTCCCTCCATCTTATCGGAGCGGTGCCATCACATCATTTCACTAGTTGAGTTGTCAGGATTTATTCCTTCCGCCGCGCACTCGCCGCTTCTAAAAACAGCAGCTGGGGCACGCGGCGGGGACAGGCCAGGGCTGCCAGGGGGAACTGGGGCTTCTCTGGCTTGACTTTCCCTGGACAAGAGCGGGAGAGCCCTGGGAGGTTGGGTACCCATGGATGGATGGATCCATCCCACTGCCGGGAGCAGCACAGAGCCAGGCCAGCTCCTGCAGCTGCCTGCATTTGCTCCTGGATGCTCCAGACATGCAGCCACATCCATGCACCTACTTTTGCTTTCCTTGGGGGAGTGAGCAGGAAGGAAGCGCAGAAGGGGCCCACACAAACCTACTCGTCCCATCCCATCCTGTCCCCTCCCATCCCAACCCAAGCTGCTCCCGCATCCCTTTGCCCCAACTGCATCCATAGGACTTGAATCATATCCAGACAAACTGCTCTGTCTCTTGGCAGGGTGCGGGCTGAGAGGTCCATCCAGCCATCCATTCATCCATCCTTCCCAATTCTCCCATCTTCCCTCCTCCCTGGGTGTTCCCATGCCATGGGACATCCTGTGCTGGGATGAGAGCAGACACCACCAGTCCATCCTCATTTTCTCAGTCTCTCCATCACCAGGGCTCATGTGGGGACCATTCCCAGCGCATGGTCCCCCAGGGCTGGCACCAGGCACTGTATTTAATCGGAGTAACATGGCTGATACTGGGATGTGATCCCGTGACGCCCCCATAGCAGTATTTATCCTGATAGTATCCAGGCAGCTGCAAACACTGCGGGGACTTCTGAGTCCGGATTCCAACGAGGGGCAGAGCAGTTTGTTCAGATGTGATTCAAATCATATGGATGCAGCTGGGGCAAAGGATGCAGGAACTGATTGGGATGGCATGGCATGGCATGAGTGGGTTTGTCTAGGCCTTGCTCCTGCAAGGAAAGTAAATCTGGGTGCTTGGATGTGGCTGCATCTCCAGAGCATCCAGGAGCAAACACGGGTGGCTGCAGGAGCTGGCCTGGCTCCGTGCTGCTCCCGGCACTGCCATTAATTTCCCTGGCCATAGGAAAGCTGTGGGTCACCTTGCACAGGGGCTCTTGCCATTCGTCTCCATCACACCCCATGTCAGGGCGATACCTCACAGCTTCCTTCCTCCCATGTGCCCACCCAGAATCCTCAAGATCCACAGGGACGTGAGTGCCAGCCATGCTCAGCCATTGATCGCAGGTGCATGGCCGTGGTGTGATGACAGGATTAATCTTTGCTCCCTGGCCAAGCTCAGCCTATTCCTTTGGAATCTCTGATGGGGAGATAAGCTGAGGCACAGCCAGGCAGCCCCAGGGGCAGGGAGCAGCCCCGCACCCAGTGTTTCAGCAGCGATTGGAGCACTGGGGTCTGTGTCACACCAGGCAGGTGCACCTGGCTCACCGGGGGCTTTTCCCCCCTTCCTTCCTTCCTTCTTTCCTTCCTGTTGCTTTTCTTTTCAGCCTAAAGCAAACAGGCAGGTCCCTGCCCAATTTGGTTAATGATCTGGGAGATAAACCCTCCTCCAGTGATAACTGGGCACCGCCTACCTGGGACCGATGGCCAGGTGAGATACCTGGGGGGGTGTTCACGTGCTGGGGGATCCCACAGAGAGCTGGAGCCCGTGGACTTTGCTCCCATACTCTCCAGGACACCCCTCCAGGCTGGCACCGGCTCTTCCCAACCTCCCAGCATGCAGGTAGGGGGATGTGGCTGAATCCAGGGAGCAGAAGGGTGGGATTGCTTCCTGCTGCCTGGTGGTTCCCATGTGAGGACACAGCCCACTGGCTTTGGGCCTTGTCCCAAGTGTGGACAATGTGGACACACAGCATATCCAGGCCTCCCAGTCCCTGTCAGTATCATTTTCCCTGTTCTCACACAACAATGCTGTGTGCTTAGTTTGAAAAATCACCTTTTCCCTCCTCTTTTTTGGTGCTGTGTCAATGTGAGAGTGAGCATAGCACTGGCTTTGCCTGCCCTGCATCCCTGGCGTGCCCCCTGCCCCACGTTCCCAGTATCCTCCCACCCTGCGTTCCCAGTGTCCCCATCAGCTCCACCTCGGGATAGGGAGGAGGAGGAGGGATGAGGCATTTGAGGAGCCGATTTTTGGGTGGATTGAGGCACTGGCTGGGGTTCCAGCACCCCATTTTTGGGTGGCTCGAGGCACTGGCCAGTGTTGTGGCCCTGGGGTGCTGGCGGGAGCGGGGCTGGCTCTGGCAGCACTATTTTTGTCCCCCTGTCTGGAACGGTTTTCTCTTTATCAGCGCCTGCGTGTTTTCTCTGCTGGGGATTGATACACAGAAGATGAAGTGCTCTGACATGGGAAGTGTCAGGCGAATGCTCTTATCTCGGAGACATGGTCTCCTGACCCAAACGCCGCTGATTACCAGTGAGACGGGGGGAAGGGGGGGCAAAAAGGGGGGGCATGGACAGGGGGAGGTGGCGGTTGGGCTCCGTTCCCCAAAAGCAGACGGGACACTCGGGGTGACAAAGCCAGGGGGGAGCCACCACTCTTGGGGCTTTCCTGGGGGCTTGGGCCTTTGCTGTCACCTCCTCAGAGCTGGGATGAGGGAGGAGGGTGGGAAGCATGGGGATGCTGAGGCTGGAGTGAATCCAACACCAGCACATCAGGAGTCAGATGGGAGAGCAGTGGAAATGTGGAGCAATGTGCGCCACGTGAGGGTCCGACTGCCCTGCTCAGCCCTGAGGACACTGTGATGGTCACTGCTCCCTGCTTGACCCCAGGTCCTTTGTGGGGATGATCAGCCGGATGAGGGACTGCTGCTGCCCTTCCTCAGGGTTGGTTTGTGCCAGGGAATAAATCCCATCAGCTCCTCGAAGGCCTCATCACTCCTCCTCCTCCCTATCCTGAGATGGAGCTGATGGGAGAATGGGGAGGGGGGATGCTGGGGATACAGGGTGGGAGGATGCTGGGAATGTGGGCCAGGGGGATGCCAGAAGTGCAGGGTGGGAGGATGCTGGGAATGCAGGGCAGGCAGAACCAGTGCCGTGCTCACTCTCAAAACCATTTTGCAGGGATGAAATCCCAGCTAGAAGAGCTGAGATCCCCACAACCAGGGTGGCTTTTGGAGCTTTTCTGGCTCCAAGCCAGCTCTGAGGGCTCCCAGGTTGAGGACTGTGGGAATGGGAAGACAGGCATTGGGAATGCCCCAGCAGGGCAGAGGGGCTGTGGCAGAGCCCATCCCTCCCTTCACCAGCACGTGCTGGAGGCTGCAGCACAGGGGTAGAGGGTGGCACATGCCAAGCACAGGGACCAGCCTGGTGACCCCAGACACCTGGGGGACCTTCAACACCTTCACAGACCTCCTGGGGGGGCAGTGGGTTTTGCCAACAGGCACTGGCTGCTCCCCTGGGATGCACTCGGAGCTGTGTCCCCAGTGACCCAGTTGGGTGTATGGAGGGGACTCAGGGGTGACAGTGGGAGCTGGGTGATCACAGGTATCACCACCCAGCACTTCCAGTCACTCACCTCACCTCACCCCAGCACCGGGAGGATCCAGATGTCAGCCCTGCTAATAAACACATCAGATTTCAATCTCTGCAGCCATGGGATCGCTTTATCCTCCCTGTGCTCTCGGCTCTGAAAGCAATTTTGCCTTCAGAAAGAGCAGCCTCCTCCCCACCCACGGGACCCGGGCACAGGCTACCTCCACCTCGGTGCCCCTGGGGCTTTAGGGGGGCTCTTTGTCCTGATGTGGCAATGGGGGGACTCCACTGCTTTGGTGGTAGGAGCATTCCCAGCCACAGATGGGTGCCCTGGGTTGGGTTTGTCACGCTGTCCTCAGGGAGCAGCTTGTTTTTGGGGCACAGCAGATGCAGCGAGGGGCAGCCAGCACTCATCCATCTGGATATTGGTTACCTGCCATCTTATCTGCGCTCCCAAAGACAAAGGCACAGTTAAAACATTTTAGAGCAGCCTTCATAGCGTATTAACATGTTATCTAACCCATTAAACCAGAGGCTTATCAGATAATCAAAGCCATTAAGCCCTGAAGCTGCTGCGACTTTGGGTGCGGGGATGGGAAATGCTCCTTCCGCTCCACCGCAGGCCCTGCCTGGACCCCCCGTGCCGTGCCAGGACCCCCCGGCAAGCGGATGGATCCCACCACCCACCACGGACACGCAACTCTGGGAGACCCACCAGCAGCTCTTGGCCCCAAATGGATGCCCACCTCCCCGGGGATCTGGGGGTGCTGCAGGTTGGGGAGTTTTGGGGGGTGTTGTGCTGATGCTGTGCCTGTTTCCCTGCAGATGAGCTGGATCTGGAGGTGCAGGATGGAGAGAGACGGGTGCGAACCCGCAGGAGTCTTCCCGAAGGCTTCTCCTGGGGACCCTTCCAGGGCAGCATCCACAGCGAGCCAGCATCACCGGGGCATGGGGACATGGTAAGAAGCCACCCCCATGGGGATGGTGGCAGAGGAAGTCCCAAACAAACAAATTGTTTGGGAATAGCAGTCCATTTGGGATGGATTTTCCCTACCCAGGCTCATCACTCCCTGAGAATCTCCTGGTTTGGGTGCCCAGGAGGTTTCCCTCCCATACACTGAGGTGAGAGTGTTCCCATGGGCAGCAGGTCAGGGTGCTGGCTGTCCCCTCTACATAGCTACAGGTTGCTTGGTTATTTGTGGATAGTCATGGGATCTGCATTTCCCACCCCAAATTTGCTCCCTGGGGACTCTGATTGTGCCTGGAAAGCACCAGCAGCAGTGGTGAAGGGGCAGGAAAGGGGGCACCAAGGTGGCACCAAGGGGCTGGTGGCTGTTAGTGGCTGTTGGTGCCATCACTGGGGTGAGCAGCAGAGGAGGGGGGTGTGTATCCATGAATGTGCACATGGGTGTGTTTCAGGCTCTGGATCCTCATATCCCGGCCACAGCCTTCCCTCCACATCCCCCTCGAGCCACACACAGGCAGCTTGAACCCAGGATCCTCGAGGCCTGGCTCCATCCCCACCTCTTCCTCCTCCTCTCTCCCTCGCTCTTCTTTTCTTTTCCTTTTCTTTTTTTTTAACTCAGGCCCGTTTATCTTTGCTGAATTAAATCCTTGATTAACCCTTATCTGCCCAGTTTGGCTCCCTATCTCCCGGTTGGCGCCGTGTGTCCAGACACCCGGTACAGGATGATTGATTTCTCAAAGATATGCGCGGCTTTTTTCTGATACTTCATTTATTGTCTAAATATTTTTGCTCCCATTTCAGCAGCTCCCTTATCGAGCCCGGCTGATGATTCCCAGCCCTGCTCTCCTCTGCCACTCGCCTCCCTCCCTATCTCTGCTCAGGGAAGGGAGGAAGGAATCGCAGCCCCATCCCTGATACGGGCTGTCGCCCTCAGGTCCCTTCGTCTTTGTTGCTGGCGGCGGGGTGGGCGTGCAGGGGGTCTCCCACAAATCCTGCCCGGCTCTGCTCCTCATCTCCGTGTGGGAGATTATCCCACCCTGGACTTTTAGTGGGAGCTGGGAACACTGGATCGCTTTAATGCATCTGTGGCATCGTGTGTGCCTATGGCTTTGCTAATGGAGGAAAAGGAGAAGGAGGAAGAGGAGGAGGAGGAAGATCCCTGCTTGCCCCCAGCTGGTCCCACAGGGATCCCCCAAAACATCAGTGCTCAGGAGGGTGTGGAAACCCACTGAGAGCCAGCCTGGGGGTGCCAAGGAATTGTGGAGCCCCCCTGGGGCTGTCCCCCAACTCCATCCCTGCCCCATGTCCCCCCCAGCCACCCAGCCCGGGGTGCAGTGAGGGCACAGGGCCGTGCCCATGCGCCATCCCGGCGGATGCGGAGCAGATAGGGTTTCTGATGGTTATCAGCCGGTGTGGAGCGGAGACACCGACCTCTTTGTTCCAGGGAGAACAAGGAAAGGCTTGACACAGGGGCTGGGGCCGCTGAGGGGAGCTGGGGTGGACACCCTGGGGTGCTGGGAGCACTTTGGGGTGCTGAGAGCTCCCTTGGGGTGCTGGGAGCACTTTGGGGTGCTGAGAGCTCCCTTGGGGTGCTGGGAGCACCTCGGGGTGCTGCAGGACTCCTGGGCACTGCAGGGACCTCCCTCTATCGGGGGTACCCACAGCTTCCCCCATGCACAGAGCAAAACTGCAAAGGGGCCGTCCCCTCCCTCCTCCACCACGGTCCCCAAGAGTGCTCAGCCCACAGCACCCATCCCTGTGTCCCATGTACCCATCCCAATGTCTCCAGCCCCCATGGGCCAGGTGGGTTCCCCCAGCACTGTGGGCCATGCACATGCGTGTGCAAGCGCCTCACACACGTGTGCAAGCGCCTCGCACGCGTGTTGAGGGGGTTTATCACGCTGCTGGCACTCGCTCCTGGCAGTGATAAGGCCCCAACCGGCTGCTACTGTCAGACTGAGTTGGAGGGGTTGGAAATATTGGGATGGATAATTAGATTTCATATCGTTACTGCAGCAGCCATCGGAGGATCAGGGAGATTAATTTCCCCCCCCTTATGCTCATTAATATTCATTAGAATGCAGGGAGGCAGAGCTGGGCAGGGACTGAGCAGGGAGTGCTGTGGCCACCCCTGGCAGCCCCTCAGCATGACCTCGGCCTGTTTCGGGGAGTGCTGTGACCAGCCCCGTCAGCCCCTCCCCCTGACCCCAGCCTGGCACCCCCTCACCATGACCCTGGCCCGTTTCAGGGAGCGCTGTGACCCCCCTGGCAGCCCCTCACTGTGACCCTGTCATGTTGTGGGGAGCGGTGCTGACCCCCTGTCCCTGCCCTGGCAGAGCCCACCCGTGACGCTGGTGCTGGGGGACGAGAGCTGCTGGCTGTCCCGTCTGCCCCTCGTGCCCGGAGAGCCTGATGCCAACGCCGTCATCTACAAGAAGGGTTGGTACCAGTGTCTGTGGGGGTTCAGAGGGAAAGTGTCCCCATCCACGCCCCCAGTCCCAGTGTCTGCTCTCCGTGTCCTCCCGCTGGTTGTCCCTGGGCTTGTCCCCGGGCTTGTCCCCTGTCCCAGCCTCTCTGGCTGTCTGATGCCAAGAGGGCTGGGGAGAGTCCCAGCAGGGATGGGTGCAGGGATGACACAGGTGTAAGGATGGGTATAAAGATGGGTACAAGGATAGCACAGGCATGGGTGTAAGGGTAGACTAAGGGATGGATATAGGGATGAAAGCAAGGATGGTGTAAGGATGGACGCAGGGATGGGCACAGGGATGGAAACAGGAAGAGACATAGGGGTGGGTGCAAGGATGAGTGTAAGGATGGACACAGGGATGGGCACAGGGATGGAAACAGGAATAGACATAGGGGTGGATGCAAGGGTGGATGTAAGGCTGGACACAGGGATGGGCACAAGATTGGCACAGAGATGAGTGCAGAGATGGTTGTAAAGATGGGCACAGGTATGGGTGTAAGGGTGAACTCTGGGATTGGCACGGGAATGGGCGCATGGATATGTGCAGGGATTGGCAGAAGCCAGAGCTGCGGCTCGGGACAGGCACGGCCGTGCAGGGCTCAGACACGGGCAGACACTGCCATCTCCAGGCCGTGGCTGGGAGGAAACACCGGGCACTGCCGGGACAGCGGGGACAAGGCGGGACAGAGGGGACAGGGTGTCCCAGAGCCACGCGGGCAGCAGGACGGGGTCCAGGGATCCACGCTGACCGCTGTCCCCCCATTCCAGATGAAGCTCTGTGGTGCCGGACCACACGCACGCTGCGGGAGAACGAGCATGTGAGCGCCTTCGTGATGGCAGAGCCACCGGCTGTCCCCAACCACGGGGTGAAGGCGGAGCCCAGCGAATCCCCGTACCCGGCGGCGCTGCACTCGGACATCCAGCTGCTGCCACAGCAGGCCGGCATGGCCGCCATCCTGGCCACCGCCGTCGTCAACAGTGAGTCCTGGGGACATGTGGAAGAGACATGACCCTGCCAGGGCTCCCAAACCCATAATACAAGTGATGCATGTCCCTTGTCCCTTCCCTTTTGCAGAGGACGTGTTCCCGTGCAAGGACTGTGGGATCTGGTACCGGAGCGAGCGCAATCTCCAAGCCCACCTGATGTACTACTGTGCCAGCCGACAGAGCGCCAGCGCTGGCTCACCAGCCGTGGATGAGAAGCCCAAGGAGACGTATCCCAACGAGCGCGTCTGCCCCTTCCCCCAGTGCAAGAAGAGCTGCCCCAGTGCCAGTTCCCTGGAGATCCACATGCGGAGCCACAGCGGTATGGCATGGCATGGCACAGCACCTCTCGTCTGGGTGGAGGGGCAGGGAGGCTGTGGGGCGACAGCACGGTGACCAGTTTGATGAGGTTCTCCCCATTTGGGTCACTGGTTTGGGGCAGCTCACTTGTACATATTCCGCCATCTCAGCCCTGTAGAGATGGAGGGATTTGGCCCTGTGAGGTGGCCCTGTGGTCCCCATCACCCTTCCTGAGCGTTCGTGTGTCCCGCAGGAGAGCGGCCGTTCGTCTGCCTGATCTGCCTGTCCGCCTTCACTACCAAAGCCAACTGTGAGCGGCACCTGAAGGTGCACACAGACACCCTGAATGGTGAGTGCTCCCATGGGAACACCCCTGTCCCTTCTGGCACAGCCTGGGGATGGGTACTGGCTCTTCCCACCCTGCCAGGTACCCACTCAGCCCGTGCCGTGTTCCCAACAGGTGTTTGCCACAGCTGCGGCTTCATCTCCACCACAAGGGACATCCTGTACAGCCACCTGGTCACCAACCACATGATCTGCCAGCCGGGCTCCAAGGGCGAGGTGTTCTCCCCTGGATCAGCCCTTCCTGCTGCCAAACCCATCGCTCCTGGTGAGTGCTGGGGCTGCGGCCACAGGGCACTTGGGATGGCATTGGCACTGAGGCCTTGTACCCAACAGGCTCTGGTGGCAGAGAGGGAGGTGGGAATGGGGCAGTGTCCCTGTGTTGGGAATGGGGAACAGGGTGAGCATCCCTGTACTAGGGGTGTTGGTAACAGGGGCAGGGCAGCATCCCTGTACTGGGATGTTGGGAAAGGAGCAGCGTCTCTGCGTGAGAAATATTGGGAATGGGAAATGGGGCAGGATCCCTATGCCAGGGGTGCTGGGAATTGGGGATGGAGCAGCATCTCTGTGCGGGGTGTCAGCAATAGGGGATGGAGCAGCATCCCTGTGCCAGGGGCATGGGTAACAGAGGTCAAGGCAGCATCCCTGTGCCAGGATGTCAGTGACACTGGTGCCTCTGTCCCCTGGCAGGGCTGAGCCAGCCGAACAACGCGTCCCTGCGGAAGTGCAGCCTGCCAGCGTTCCTGCCCGAGGGGCTGCCGGCGCTGCCCCAGCACATGGTGCTGCCCGGCCCCCCACCCGGCCCCCCGCCTGGCCCCGACGCCACACTGCCCTCAGCACCACCTTCCTCGCCCCCTGATGCCAGGGCTGGCAAGCTCTCACCACCAGCCCAGCCACAGAATGGGGAAGGGCCTTCATCAGCATCATCCTCCTCTTCCTCCTCCTCCACCTCCAGTGAGACTATCCGCATCAAGGAGGAGCCTGCCAGCAGCCCAGTGAGCGAGGCGGAGGCACCGAAAAGCGGGGAGGGGGCCGGCAGCCCCGACGCTGGCTCCCGGACCTCGTCCCCCCGCAGCCTGCCCCCGGCCAAGGTCAAGTCAGAGCTCACCAGCCCCACACCGGGCTCCAGCCCAGTGCCCAGCGAGCCAGGGACAGGCACAGCCGGCGGCACCGTCTTCCTCCCCCAGTATGTGTTCGGCCACGAAGCCGCAGTGGTGCCGCAGGCATCGGAAATCCTGGCGAAGATGTCAGAGCTGGTGCACAACCGGCTGAAGCAGGGCCACGGGGGCACGGTGCCACCCACCATCTACACAGGCACGCCGGTGCCCAAGGGTGCCACTTGCTTTGAGTGCGAGATCACTTTCAACAACATCAACAACTACTACGTGCACAAGCGCCTCTACTGCTCCAGCCGCCACCTGGCCGAGGACAGTCCCCCCGGGGCACGCAAGCTCAAAGCACCCCCTGGGGCACCCAAGGGTCCTCCTGCCCCGGGGACACTGCTGTCCCCTCCGGTGGGCAACGGGCAGGGGACACCAGCAGGGGATGGGGACACCGGCCGCGATGCCACACCACTGACCACTGTGCCAGAGGTGAAGGCAGAAGAGGGGGGTGGCAAAGCAGGGTCCCCCGAGGCAGAGGGGGGACCTGGGCGATGCAGCGAGGACAGCCAGAGCCCCGGCAGCTCGGCGGGGGACGAGGGGGATGAAGACCCCAGCAAGACGTTGTGTGAGGCCTGTAACATCCGCTTCAGCCGCCACGAGACCTATGTGGTGCACAAGCGCTTCTACTGTGCCTCCCGCCATGACCCCCCCCTGCGCCGCCCCACCGCCCCCAAAGTGCCCTTCCTGCCGCAGCCCCTGCGCACCCGCAAGCGCCGCAAGCTCTACGAGATCCACGGGGCCGCTCACCGACCTGCCGAGCCCCCACCAGCCCCCGACCCACCACCGACCACCGACCCAGCCAGTGCTGCCCCCTCGTCTCACGCCAGCCCCGATGCCGAGGGTCCCATTGACCTGAGCAAGAAGCCACGGTGGCAGAGTGAACCGGCACCAGCTCCGGCACCGCTGCTGCCCTTGGCTGACTACCACGAGTGCACCGCATGCCGCATCAGCTTCAACAGCCTCAACACCTACCTGGTGCACAAGAAGTACCAGTGCCCGGCCACCCCACTGCAGCCCCGCACCCTCGAGCACCTCCAGAAGATGAAGGGGGCCATGCCCGCCCCCCTCAAGGGGCGGCACAGCCCCGGCAGCCCCAATGAGGGGGACCCTGAAGGTGTGCGGGTGAGGGCAGCCCCAGCGGGCAGCCCCAGCATCCCCTATGCCGGGGCGGACTCACTGCAGCGTCACCCCAAGAGTCCCCTGCCACCCCCGGGGGCGAAGGGACCTCTCGCTGCCTGTCCCTACTGTCCCCTCAACGGGGCCATCAAGGGCGACCTCCTCGAGCACTTCCGTAACGCCCACGGGCTCTTCGTGGCCAAGCCGGCGGCGGCCGGGCAGGGGGTCCCCGACACCCTGGCCCCTGGTGCCAGCAGGACACCCGAGCCCCCTCTGCCCACGACGTCACCCCCTCGCCCACCTGCCCCCCGCCTCCGCCGGGACAGCTGCAGTGCCAAGGAGGGCCAGGATGGTGGCGGCAGCCCCCGGCCCCCTGCGTCCCCCCGGCCACCCCCCTCGCCCGGAGCCCCGGAGGCACTGCGGGAAGCTGCCCGCAAGCCCCCCACGCCCCCCGCCTACACGGACAGGGGGGTGCAGACCCCCCCGGCCAAGGCTGTGCCTGGCCCTGTGCCCAACGGCAACCACAGGTACTGTCGCCTCTGCAACATCAAGTTCAGCAGCCTCTCCACCTTCATCGCACACAAGAAATATTACTGCTCCTCCCACGCTGCCGAGCACGTCAAGTAACCCCTCCCCATGCCCCCTGCCATTGCTCGGGGGGCTGCAGGGGCTGGGGGACAGGTGCCTGACACCCCTCCCTTGCAGGGGTTGGTGGGGGGAAGAGGACCCCCAGGAGGCTCTTCTGGGGCAGCTTCAGCATCTGGAGCCCCAAACTTCACCCCAGCTCAGGGGGTCTGAGGACCCTATGGTGGGGAGCGTGGTGCTGAGGGGGGTCAGCCCCCACCTCTGCCCAAAAACTGAGGCAGGGGCTGTGGGGAGGCTTTGTCCCCTGGTAGACACTACAGGGTTGGGATGGGGGGTATGGCATGTCCAGACCCTGGAAAACATGGAGATACCCCCACTGCAGAGCAGACCCTGCACAGAGACAGCACTGGGGGCGAGGATGGAGCTGCCCTGGGAACTGTGTGTATAAGTGTGTACAGAAATAAATATGTCTAATAAACACCTGTGTGAGGGTGGGGGACACTGTGGGGGCTGGCATGGCCACTGTCACCCTGTGGGGACAGGGAATGGAGACAGTGGCAATAGCAGGGCAGGGCATGATGTCCCCACACTGTCCTTGGCACCCCTTGGTGGCACTTACATCACCCCAGGGGGGTCACACATCTATGCCATGGGGCAATGCAGCCACCCCCAGACGGGGTGCAGCTGGTGCTGGCTGCAGGCTGATGGCTCATTAATTATCAGGCTAATTAAGCTCCCACAGTCACAGGTGGGGCTCAGGTCTCCTCCCACACCAGCAGTTCCTGCACTGGAGCTCCAGACCCCTGCGGTGGATGCCCAGGTGAGCGTGGCCCAGGTCATGAGTTCCCTGCAGTGTGTCATGGGGCACAATGTCCCTAAGGACCCCCAGAGCACGGCTTCTCACTTCCCCACAGCTCCCAGTAAGCACAGGCAGGCAGTGGGTTGTTCGCCCTCATCCTGCCCTGTCTGGCAGGGATTGTGCTTTAGGGACCTCTCTGGGCTCCCCATCCCCTGTCAGGGACAATCCCCAAGAGCCAGGTCGATGGAACCCAGTGCCCCCAGCTCTGTTTGTTTCCCAGTTGGTATCCCTGGAGCTGCTGGGCGGTTGTGATCCCCATGGACATGGCCAGGGCAGCACCAGTGCCTGGGGTTGTGCAAAGCTGGTGGGTTACAGCAGCTTTCCCTGCACAGGGCTGCCAGGGGGGCTGAGGACCCAAGAGACTGGAACAGCCCCTCCAGGACAGGGGCAGGGGCCTTCTGTGCCAATCCTGGACAGTCTGAAGGAGCAGGGACACCTTTCATCCCTTCAAGTGGAGCAAGAACAGGCTTGGTGCCAGCTGCCACAGGCCAGTGGGTTTGGGATTTGCCCCATCCCCTTCTCATGGTTGTCTGCAATGCTGGAGGGGTCTCAGCTCTGCGCCAGGAGGTGAGAGCCAGGCTCTGGGGGCCAGGGAGGAGGGCAAAGGCAGCAGCTCCCTTGGGAAGTGTTTGCAACAGTTCCCCTCCTCACATGCTCTTACAGCAGCACCCCTGAGTGCCAAGTAGTGCAAGGGGCTGAGTGTCTTGTGTGTGTCCCCCCCTGCAAAGATGACACAAGATGCAGCTGAATTCAGGAAAACTTTATTTAAATAAATATATTTACAGAGCAGCAGCTATTCCAGAGCAGATCTGGCCCCGCTCAGTCAGCGGAGTGCAAGGAGAGATTGTGGTGGGCACCGCCTCAGGCATTGACCTAGCGGGGTGTGGGATCCCCAATGATTGGGGGTACAGAGGATGGGGGACAGGACACCCAGCCCTCACTGCAGCATCTTCCTGCGGGGCAGGGCTGAGAGGCTGGAGGGCAGGGCTGGGAGGCTGCGAGGCAGGAGGTTGGGCAGTGCCAGGCTATTCTCCTCTTCCTTCTGCTCCTCAGTGGCATCCAGGAGCTGCTGCATGTAGCAGGAGGTGCCAAGCAGGGCATGGCCCGTGGCCTGCATGGTGAACAGTGTCCAGCGCAGAGCTTCCCTGGGCAGGGAGAAAGGGGGTGAGCGTCCCTCCAGGCACCCCACGGAGCAGGGTGGGCAGTGTCCCCACTCCCAGAGCCATCCCAGCCCCACAGCACTCACTTCATGAGGCGCCGGGCGCCGTAGCACTGCAGGTCATAGGACACGCTGTAAGTGCCATAGAGGGTGGCTTTGACGTTGAGGCAGCCTGGGTCCCTCGGGTGGGTCTTGTACAAGTCGAAGGTGACACAGGCAACATCGATCTTCCGAGGGGGCTTGCGGGACAGGCCCACCTGGTAGCCAGGAGTCTGGGGAGAACAGGGCCATGGTCACCCAGTGTTACACCACCCTCTCAGTCCCACCTCCCCACTGATTACAGCATGGGATAGACAGACTCAGCTGGGGGCCAGGAGTCTGGGGAGAGCAGGTCACACCCAGTGGCACCCCACCCTGCCAGTCCCACCTCACCCAGCATCCCACCTGATCCCACCATGGGATAGACAGGACAAACTAGCCTCCTCCTCTCCCTCCCAGAGGTCCACTCACCTTGGGGGCAGCCCAGCTCTGCCCCTTGCTCAGGGCCATCAGCACTGTGCCCTCCTCCAGTGTCCGGAAGAACGACTCGGTCTCCACCACAGTTCCATCCTCATCCAGCACCAGCGAGATAGGACCCGGCATGGCCAGGGCACTCTGAGCCTGCAGGGGGCCTTGGAGTGAGCAGGGCTAGGGGCAGCCAGCCCACCTCCCACCTGGGACAGACAGACCCTCAGCTCACCTGCTTGACCAGCTCAGCAAGGCTCGGGGCCATGATACCCTTGCGCAGGCTCCGGTCCCAGTTGCACACACGGAAAGGCCGGGGCGGTGGGGCTGGGCTTGCCAGGAGCTGCTGGGTCATGGAGGCACTTGCTGAAACACATCTGGGGAGGGATACAGGGATTGGGGTGTCCTGAGTCCCACCACTGTCTCCTGGCACCTCAGCACATCACTCGGGGAGTAAAGGGGTGCCAAAGCAGGGAGGGCTCTGGTGTCCCCAGTCCTGGGAACAGTGGCTCCATAGCACTTACCTGGAGACGGGGGCAGCCAGGCGCTGGCTCAGGGATTTGGCATAATCCATCTTTGCCAGGAGCACTGAGCAGCCTGTGGGAAGGAAGAATTCAGCCCTAGGCAAGGGTGGTCCTGTCCACTCCAGGAGACCTCTTCCCACCAACACCTCTCACTCCTCTCTGCTCCAGAAGAGCTTCCCAGTGGCACTTCCTGTGCTCAGCTCTGGTCCCGCTGCCTTTACAGGGGCTGTTCCTGCCCTTTGGCCAGCGGTGCCCGCCCGGCCAGAGTCCCCTGCCAGCACAGCTCTTGCGCAAAGGGACACACGGGGCCCTGAGTCAGCACTGGAGCAAAGGTGAGACACCAGCACTGGGATGTGTTTACACCCCAGGGTCTTCAGCAGGGATAGCCAGGGCATTGGGAGTCAGAGACACCCCTGGGAGCACTCCCAACCCTGCGGATCGAGAGATGTATCCAGCCAGGAGCCTGCTGGGGGGCTCCAGCCAGGGCCCTCATAAGGAGGTCCAATGGACC